AAATTGCCCACTCTGTTAAAAATCTCTTCTTTACATTCTTTTCAAAAAGGATAATTCTTATGATTTAAAACAGGAATTACTTTATAATCTAAATGTGCTTTTGTGTTAAAATAAGGGGGAAAAACAAGGAAGATAGATATGTGCTTAGGTCTGGACAAGGTTTTGAGAGTGCAGAGATTCTACATATAATTCTATCTGAGTGTGGAGCAGTAAAAGAAGTATAGTCATAAGTCATATTTTTTTCCTGTATGAGTCAAAGTAAAAAAAGAAATTCTTAGTCAACCAGAATGGAATGAAGAAACAAGAATTCAAAAGAAAAAAAAATGAGGAGAGAATAAGAAGACTCTGGGACATGTCCAGAAGTGCCAACATCTGAATCATAGGGATGTGAGGAGAAAAGGAAGACCAAGAAATTGAAAACTTATTTGAAAAAATAATGAAGGAAAACTTCCCTAATCTGGTGAAGAAAATAGACATACAAGTCCAGGAAGCACAGAGAGTCCAAAACAAGTTAGACCCAAAGAGGACACCGAGGCACATCATAATTAAAATGCCAAAGGTTAAAAGATAAAAAAAGAGAATCTTAAAATCAGCAAGAGAAAAGCAGAGAATTATCTACAAAGGAGTTCCCTTAAAACTATCAGCTCATTTCTCAAAAGAAACTTTGCAGGCAAGAACGGGCTGGAAAGAAGTATTCAAAGACATGAAAAGCAAGAACCTACAACCTACATTACTCTTTCCAGCAAAGTTCTCATTTAGATTGGAAGGGCAGATAAAGTGCTTCCCAAACAAAGTAAAGTTAAAGGAGTTCATCATCACCAAGCCCTTATTAAATGAAATGTTAAAGGGATTTATTGAAGAAAAAGAAGAAGGCCAAAACTATGAACATTAAAATGACAACAAACTGACAACTATCAACAACTGAATTCAGAAAACAAAAACAAAAAGAAGCTAAGCAAACAACTAGAACAGGAACAGAATCATTTGGAGGGGTATCAGTAGGGAGAGGGAAGGGGGAGTATGGGAGGAAAGGTAGAGGGAGTAAGAAGCTTAATTGGTAGGTACAAAATAGACAGGGGGAGGTTAAGAATAGTATAGGAAATGGAGAAGCCAAAGAACTTATATGCACGACCCATGGACATGAACTAAGGGGGAGGATTGCTGGAGGGAAGTGAGGTACCAGGTGGAGAAGGGTTAAAGGGGGGAAATTGGGACAACTGTAATAGCATAACCAATAAAATATACTTAAATTTTTTTTATATTACTTTATAGACACAGACTAGATTTCTAATTCTCCCTCCAAAATCGGTTTGCTCACATTTAAAGAGTACTGAAGATTATTCCACTGGTATTAAATCATAATAATGATCTTGATGATAGCCAAGGGCACACAGAGTTCAAGTGCCACAGGTAGGATTTGAACCCATATTTACCTGGGGTGAAAGTATCAGCTCTTGTCACCACCTAGAGTGCTCTTTGACAAGGAAGTTGCAGATACAAGCCATAGCAAATTACTTCCTACACCAATTTTGCAGGTAGTTCCCTGGGCCTACAGTTAGGCCTCTGCAAAAGAATGAGAAAATTGGAGCCTTGGAGTATAGTGCAAGTGCTTACGACACAGGGCTTCCAATTCAGAGAATTGGTTACAGAGGTGGGAGAGGAATCAACAGCCAAACAGCATGGTAAAGTAACACAGAGATCTGCAACAGGAAGCTACTACTGCCGTTGAGTGAGAGACAACAGGAAGAGGCAAAGTTACCATAGGGAACCCCAATAAGCCAGTCCATAAAGGAGATCTAGCCACTCTGAAGTGGCCACTTTGGGCAGAAAAATAAGGTAAGAAACACCCTGGTTTCTCCTTTGCTGTTATCCTATCTCCTGACATCCCAATCTCTTCCTATTGGCCAAACCCAGAAACCTGGAAAACCAACCATTATGGGTTGTTCCGTTCTCTTCAGAACTGAGTGAGAAAAGGTTAAGGACTGGGCCTGAGGGCAGACAGACCCAAACAGGCACACCCACGTTGATTTTGTTGTTGTTTCCAGAATAATGCACTTTAAGCTTATTTTATTTTAATTTTTTTTATCCTCCCCTAAGAGACATGCCCATTGATTTTAGAGAGAGGGGAAGAGAGAGAGAAAGAGAGGGAGAGAAACATCCATGTGAGAGTGAAACATTGATTGCCTCTTGTGCGTGCCCCGACCTGGGACCAAACCTGCAAATTAGGTATGTGCCCTGAATAGGAACTGAACCCGAGACTTTTCAGTTTAAGGGACAACGTTCCAATCAACTGAGCCACACTGGCCAGGGCAAGCTTCCTTTAATTAGTAAACCCCCTAACACCTTAGGCTAACTCTATTGAACAACAAAATTTTTTTGTTATATGTGACTTTAGAAACATCTATTATGCAAGAATATATCTCTTTATACTACTTGTAACTCACCATACATTGAATAAATAAGGAAAAGGGAAGCTGGCTATGAATTGTGTCATCATGTGGCTCATATTTTTGGAAAACTGACTGAAACATTTTTAAGGTGACTTTTATAAGTTACATATAGTCTAAGGAGTTGGCGAGTTTGCGCTAAGAGTCCTGGATATAATCCCTCAGAAACATGAGGGCGCTGGAGGCTTCTGGGTCTCTGGAGGAAGTTCTAGGTGAAGGTCCTGGACTTTGAGTTCCAGTCAGTTGTGTTTTGAGGATTGACAGCTGCCACTTTCTGATTAACTGGCAGTCTCCAGAAGGAGAGTGTTCGAGCGTGCTCTAGGGGAGAGCTGGCCACTGGCATGGTGGCTGGGCAACTTTCAAGCCTTTTTGCAGCACTGTCACCAGCAGGGTAGTTTTTCTCCCCCAACACTCCCTGAAATATGACTGTGGTCTTATTAAATATTGTGTCAAAGGAGATTCCATACAGATTATTGTCAGATTAACAACTTGAAAAACAGAGACAGCAGCCAGAGCCGCGAAGTTTCAGTGTGCTCAGAACTCAGTCCAGGAGGTGACTGGCATCTCCTCAGGGATCTGAGGAGGAAACAGACAGGATGTCTTCTGGGAGGATGTTTCTCTTGACTTACAGGATTTTTAAAAAATCACTTTATCCTGCATTTTTTGAAGGAGGTGGCTAAGTAGCGTACTTTGTAGTTAAGATCACAGACTTTGATGTCTGTTTTTTCATTGTATTTTCACAAATCTGTCCCCTTTCCTCTATCCTCACTACCACTACTACTCATCTGAGATTGCTACAGCCATTAGTCGCTCCCCTCCCCAGCCTCCCTCTCCTCAGTGGGATATTTCTAAGCAAATAAGATCAGTCATGTTCAGGATCTTCTAAGGGCTCCCCCAGCCTCTGGGATAACATCCAAACCCTGCAGCAAAAAATGTGGTCCCACTCACCCTTCCACCTCATCTCACCTATAGCCCCTACTCTGGCACATCCTAGGCACTCCCCACAAGGCAAACCCATACTTGCAGGAAAGAAAGCTCCAACCTCCCCAGGCCCGGTAAGTGGCCACCCTAGAAACGCATAATTATTGCCTGCCCCTTGGTTTCCCAGCAAAGTCGAGTCTAGATGAAAGACTGGGCCATATTCACTTGAGAACTGCCCAACATCCAAAGCCTGGGACTAAAACTGTGCTCGATGGTGTATGAAAAGCACTTTACATTTTACACAGTGTTATCTCATACTTGCTCATTTAATCCCACAGACACTCAAGTGGCAGTATTTTCCAACTATACAGGCAAGGAAACTGAGGCCCAAAGATGCCAGTCGCTCACGTTAAGACTCTTAAGTGGCAGACCAGGTAGCAAGCTTCTGGTTCTCTGAGGGGACTGAGAATTCGATGGATTTGGGTGTAAATCCCTATGCAGACAAGGACTGGCTAAGGGATCGACTGCACTTCCCTGCGCCTGTGTTCTCAGCTTTAAAGAAGACAGTAATTCCAATTCGGGCTTGTTATGAGGATGAAATAAAACAATGCCTATGAAGTGTCTGGCTAGCAGCCGGAACTATAAATTTGAGTCCCTTTTCTGACCCCAAGCTTGGCGAGCTTCGTCTCCTATTTCTACAGCAGTTCCTCCTCCTCTGAGTTCCGGAGGCCATGGAAGGTGCCAACTGTAGAGCACTGTGCCTGTTTTGAAGTGATACCTGCCTCGGGGACCAGCAATCCTTAATGGAGTGTGCAGACTACAGGCACGACGTTGAGAGGACAATGATGCAGGGAGCTAAGCAGCCCTGGGAGGCAGGTGTTGGATGGAGGGGCCTTTGGGGGACATCGGTCAACCGAGAGAAAGAGGCTCCTGAAGGCACACTCCACAGAGGGGCCCATCCACGCGTCCGGACCTCCAGTCTCCCCCAAGTGGCCGGTGCCCGCAACCCACATCGCAACCCCCCAACACCCAATGACCTCTCCTACTGCTCTCCCTTCCCACTACTGGGTACTATCTCTGGGGACTCAAAAAGCAAGTTGGGCCCCAAGGCCTCGGGAGAGGGCTGGGGGTACGCAACCGGCGCGCCAGCCGCGACGAGTGAAGCCCCGCCCTCCTGCCCCCAACCGGGGCGCCGGCTGGCGGCTGGCGGGACATGCGCATCCGGAGGCAGGGCGCAGGGCGCCGGGAGGCCGGGAAGCGCGCTTGCAGTTTCTCTCTACCGGGAGCGGGCGCGGGCGGGAGCAGACGGGCGCTGCGGGGAGCCACCAGCCGTTGGCGGGGAACAGGACGCGGGAGCGGGAAGCGCGCCTCCAGTGCCGCCAGACGAGTGCCGTGTGCGAGGCTGCAGCGGCTCATCCGCGAGCCCAGGGCGCAGCGTCCAGTAAATGCCAGCAGCAGGAAGCCGCCGCGCTGCTGTGTCCAGAGAACTCCAGCGGCAGTGACCTCAGCAAGGAGAGAGCGAGGCAGCGGCGAACTCCGCGGGGTCTTCAGGCTAAGGGTGCGGGGCAGGGGGCGGTGGCGCGGGAGCGCTGGGCGCAGACCGGGTGGGGTTGGGGGGCAGTGATGAGACAGCGCGCTGGGAGGCTGCACGCTGCCGCCGCCACCCGGAGCATCTGCCGCCCGAGCTGCTGCCCGTGGTCCGGGGCCCGGCCATGGAGACGCTGAATGGTCCCGCGAGCGGCGCTCCGGACGCTAAGCCGCAGCCGCCCGGTCAGCACCACCGCCACCACCACCTCCACCCGCTGGCCGAGCGGAGGCGGCTGCACCGCGCACCCTCGCCCGCCAGACCGTTCCTCAAGGACCTGCAGGGCCGCCCCGCGGCTCCCGGCCCGGCTCCGGCCGTCCCCTCCGCCGGCCGATCCCCGGCGCCCGCCGCCCCGCGTTCGCCCAGCCTCGCCGGCAAGGCAACGCCCTCGCCTGGGACCCTGGCCGCGCCCGGCCGCCTCTCCCGGCGCAGCGGCGGCGCACCCGGCGCGAAGGACAAGCCGCCGCCGGGCGCCGGGGCCAGGACAGCGGGTGGTGCCAAGGCCGCTCCGGGCCCCAGAAGGGCGGCTCGCGCGGCGCTCGCCGAGTCGCTGCCCCGGGCTGGGAAACTGCCGCCGCCGCCGTCGCCTGGGCCCTCCGAGCCTCTCCACGCTGCTGCTAAGGGCCGCAAAACGAAGCGCTGCTCCGCGGCACCCCCAGCCCGCGCTGCCGGGCCCCCGACCCCCGCCGCCCCGGTCCCTGCGGTGGTCCTCGCCGTGACCTCCGCGACCGGCACCCCTGCCCCTGGTTCCCGCATCAGCCACACGGACAGCAGTTCGGACCTCTCGGACTGCCCCTCCGAACCCCTGTCGGACGAGCAGCGCCTGCTTCCCGCCGCCAGCAGCGACGCCGAGTCCGGCACGGGGTCTAGCGACCGAGAACCCCTGCGAGGAGCCCTAGGGACGAATCCCGCGGCTCGGGGAGCGCCCCTAGTCAGCCCCGAGCCCCCCGCACTCCTCGCCGCGCCCCCCGCCGCCAGCGCTTTTCTTGCGGGTCGGAGCAGTCCGGGCGGGGTCCCCGCAGGGTCCCCGGGGCCCAGCGGGGCGGAGGATGCCAGGGGGCGCGCGCCATCAGAGCGGGTGGTCTCCGGGACCCCCAAGGAGCCCGGCGCGGGCGAGCCGCCGCGACTGGTTCCGGCGGTGGAGGAGGAGGAGCTGCTGCGGGAGATCGAGGAGCTGCGCTCGGAGAATGACTATCTCAAGGTGAGCAGCCGGCTCTGCAGCAGGTGCCCAGAGGCGACCCTGGAGGGCCTGCCTGGTTGCGGGCGAGGACTCGCGAGCCCAGCCTTCGCGGTCCCGACTAGCACTTTTCTCCTCCTTTCACTTTTCTGCCCCCGAACACGCTAGGCATTTGGAACTTAAGCCAAAACTTCTGGAAGGAGCAACAGAACCTGTGGGTCCGGGCAGGTTCTCAACCCGCTTAGCTATTTCTGTTTCCACAAGTCTTGCTTCTCTCTCCTGATGCCTTTCCCGCGTCGATGTGCTGGTGTAGAGGTGGTTATAGTCGCATTTTGGATACACACCGCCACCACCCGGCCCCCGCACGGATACGTGCCCATCCTCACCCGTGGGAGCAGGTTAGCCCGCGCCAAGGAGCTCAGGTCCCAGCCACCTGCGGGTGCGTATCCGCTGCGGAGGGTGCGGGGCTCCCAGGCTGCCCACGCGCCTGCTGCTTCTCTTGTGATTACAGGAAATCAGGCGCCCTGTGTGTCATCCTCGGGGGTTTAGACAGCACAGGTAGAGGGCCCCACTGTTTCAGTGATAAACTTTAAGTTCAGGGGTCCCTTGAGTAGCGCCTGGGTTGAGGGACAACAGTGTTTTGCTTCTCAGGCCTCTGTAGGCGTCTCCGAGTCAGAAAGGCCACTTGATTCTCTCCACACGCTGGCACTTTCGAGGGAATCGCAACCTCTGCCGCCCTGTTCCTCAGTGTTTTCCCGCAGGGCCTGCGAGCAGCGGCCTCTTGGTCTTCTTAGTTTTGGGGCACTGAATCTGAGTCCATGTTTTCTCCGGGGACGAGGGCCGGCTGGTGCTGCAGAACGGAAGACTTAGAGTTGGGGGGTGGGGGTGGGGTTAAGACGATTGAAATGTGAAGTGCTTTGAGAGAAAATAAGGGGGATTATATGGAGGGTGGTGGTTTTAATTTATTATAATCCTCAGGTTAGTAAATAGCTCCAGTGATACAAACATAAGCGTGCTACTGTTAAGATGGTAATATAGGCGTATATCCTCTCAAACCGCTGGAGTGGCCCTCGTTTATCAGTGGCTTATATGATTTGCACTGTTTTCTCTGCAAATGCTGAACGTACTTAATTGAGGCTGTTTCTGGCCAGTGCGACCACAGGTGTGGGCTTTTATGGTGAATGGTGGTGAAGCATGCAGTTCAAACTGGAATCAGTTAACTGTTGAGTGTTCCTAATCCGAAGCGTTTTATGAAGTGCTCCTCTGGCCAGCTGAGCCCAGTAGTGATTTTATCTTGTGCAAAGAGGTAACAGTGAGGCTGAGAAGAGACCTGAGAAAAGAGAGCAGATTAGGACTTGGAATGAGGTGTTTCAAATAGTGCATTTGCTTTTGTCACCCACTCTTACGTAAGAGTCGACAGGGTGAAATTCAGAGGTGTTGGAAAGGGCAGCTATGTTGTGTGATTCTATCTGAAAACAGCACTTGGGTAAATCGTCAACAAATTCCAACTCCCTAAGGGTGAGAAAGATAATCTTGTTGAGTTTTGTAACCCCAACTCTGCATAATCCCTGACCCACAGTGTTTCTGATTAAATGATGTTTATGCAAATTTTGACTGCTAAGCAAGAAAAAAAAATTGTTTTGAGGTGTTGCTTATTACATCTTTGATGTTAAGGTAGGCAGTCCAGCATGATGGCAGTCCAGCATCATTTCAGTGTTCGTTCCTGGGTAACTGGTTATTTCATTTATCTTTTTACATTGTTAGTTTCTCGTGAATGAAATAGATGTCTGACCCTGGAGTCTGGTCCAATATATTTGATATATCAGTGAATCTTCACAGCAACATAGGGTACGGTTGTTGTTGTATTTATCATAATCCCAATTTCACAGACAAGGATGCTGAGACCCAGAAAATTTAAATTACTTCCCCAAGGTTATATGTCTGGTAAAAGGTGCAGCTTCTGTTTTTCCTGCCTCCAGAGCCCTTGCTCTTTTCACTGCATCAGTCTGCACCCTCTTTTCAGCAAGGCTTTTCTCAGAGTACGCTCCTTGCTTTAGACTTGTTGTATTAGCTCAAAACGTTCCCAGTGTTTAGGTTTCCTAAGGGATCTATTTTCTTTTTAGGTGAAAGGGTTATAGTGAACATCTCTCCAAATAGTCATATAAGTCCCACTGGCAATGTTTAATTTGTGGGAAATGTTCAGTTGCCATTTCCTGTGGAGCAGATATCACGGCCAACTGTTCACTGTGTTTGAGTCCATCTCCTATCCTTTTTCTGACAGCAGGAGAGGGAAGTGGGTAAGAGTAGGTCTGAATGAGGAGAGGAGGCCAAAAGAATGATCACAAATATATGTATACAAATATACATATATATTTTGTGTGAGTTACATGTTTGGTCATTTCAAAGCTTAAATTACAATAGTTCAGTTTGGAAAAGAAACACAGCAATCCTGGTAGACTTTTCAAAGGTCAGTGAGCCTGCCCACTTATGCAAAGTCTGGCGGGGAGCATCCATGACCTCATGGGGAAGAGGCAGTAGGCATGTCCTTTGCATGTGGTGCTTAGAGCATGCCCGTTGTAAGTTGGAACTTCTCTTTGTGTTGCTCTTGTTGCTCAGTGGTACTTTTTTAGATGATGGGTAAAAGTATATCCTTGATCTACTACTTTCCTGGGGACTATTGCCCAGAACTCTGGCAGTTGGCTAGGGCATCTCTCTGTTCAAATGTTATCTAACAAGAAGAGACTCAGGAAATTTTATTTCACTATATTCTTGAGGAATGTGACCACGTTAATTATTACATTCCTTCCCCAGTCAGTTTTGTCATCATTACTGCACAAGACGGCCACACTCTCTGAGCTAGAAAGACATAAGGTAACAAATCAGAAAAATAAGGCCTGCAAAACCATAGGAGAATATCTTATTAATCAATAAATTCAAGTGGAATTCTCTTGGTTTTTAGCCAGATTGCTGTATTTTTCTAAAAATCACTAATGTAGCAGAGAAGTACATGCCTTCTGTTGTGCTATAGGGGGCTGTCCCTGTCCCTGACCCTGACCTTCATCAAAGATCACCAAAGTGACCCGATGGAAAATGCAAAACTCACTCAGTTCATTTTTCATAAACACAGAAGAGCACCCTTCTTGGCCCTGTACCTCTGGTGAATACAGATATATTTGGAAATATTTAGAAATTAAGGTCAACAGTTAGGTTGAGTTATCAAAAGGCCTTTGATTCCTTCTCAAACCAAACGCAAGCATGTTTCTTAATGATGAGGACTTCTACAAAATGTTGCTGGTGTGTTTTGTCCTGCCCACCTGCTTGCCACCATTGTGTTTTGCTTGAGTGCCCTGAGATAATCAGGTGACCTTAGTGCTCATTGTGAACATATTAATTATGTTCTCTGTTTTCACAGGCTTTTCAGGAGGATTTAATCACTCTGAGTTTATTGGCCTCTTTTGAAAATGCTTTTCACGTTACCGGTGATGCACTCACAACATCCCCACCCTTGCTCCCAAATAGTGTACTCCGAAGTGTGGGTGTCCTGTAGGATCAGCAGGGATTGGTGTGGGGAAGGGCTGCTTATTTTTGCTCTGCTTTCTCAGTTGTTTCGTAAGAATTATTTTTGGTTGGAAAAGAAGTCAGTGCTAGGTACAAGGACAAATAACATTGAATTCTTTATTTCAGAGAAATAAATGAGAGGAATGATTTCCTCAGGGAGTGCATCAGGAAGGTCTTTTTGGTTTTATAGGATGCAGCGCATCAGCACTGATTCAACCTTAACCATTCTGTTTCTCATTTGAGGTCATCTCCTGAGTTTCAAGCTCTGAAATGGTTTTGTTACGTTTGGCTGCCTGGATCCTAAGCGAGGAGTGTGGCCCGGAGACAGGGACGCTGTGAAGCAAGGCCAAGCAGTGCTGGAGTGCCTCAGCTCCTCCTTCCCTCCTCTGGCACTCGTTCCTCCCCCTTTTCCTTTGGAAGGGTTAGAGTGGACTGCATGCCCATTCTTCCTGACATTCCACTTTCCACATCCATTCTTCATTCACTCTGTGCATGAGCTGCTGTCATCATCTTGGGTGGCAAAATAACATACACCAGAGCAAATGGCTCATCAGCTGATGGCGAACTGTCACTTGGTAAACAATGGTAGCAGCCCCTACCATTGTAGCCCCTGTACCTTCTAGGCTACAGCTGGGACTTTGTGGAGAACATTTCCATTGTCCAGAGGGAATTGAGGTGGATTATTTTTATATTACAACAGACAATAGTTTCTGTCTGCAACTCCCAGAAGACAGAATTATTGCAGCAGTAGCCAGATGACTCCTCCTCCTGTTCAAATTGGGTCTATTAAAAGAGGAGTTATTAAATCAAAAGTAGTTATTTATTTTGTGTTGTTTAAAGAAGATTACAACTTGAATAAAATTATCAGTATGATAAAGAGTTTTCATCAGTTATACTAAGAAACCATGGATTTGGGTTTTATTTTATATTTGTGGCTAAAACTATCCTCATAGAGGTTTTCATTGAAACGTTTCATTTTAATCTTGGTTTACTCTAGTGCACACATGGTATCTTGTTATTCTTCTAATTTGATACATAAAATAAGGCCTAATTTGTTATTGTGGGCAAAGGGGAATAGTTTAAGAGGTTCATACTACTTCAAGATTTCATGCTATATACAAAATTTGAAAAATATATTTAATTAAAAAACTAGATGAGCACTTCAATAACATAATGATCTAACATTTAAGGATCTGACAGACTGATGTTAGTTCAATATAAAACTGTTGATTAAGGACAGTTTTGTCTTATTAATTTCTGTGTATAAACAACAACAGCATTTTTTCACTTTTACTTACTATGTCTAAACTATATCTGCCAGAAATATTATATGTTCTGCTTGATTTGGTTTTCTTAAACATTTAAATGGCAGACATCTTTACAGTTCCTTAATACAAATTAGAGCATGCTGTCAGAAAATTAATGTAGTTAGTTTGAAAATCACTATCCATCATGACCCTAATCTG